AACGTATATATCGACAAAATTATCTATTGTGTTATTTTTTTTTCAGCTATTTTTTATTTTCTTAGCTTTACAACTTGAATTCGATGAACCTGAATATGATATGGATGAAATTGATCATAATTGGTTTCATAAAACAGCTCATAGTTTATGTCCTGAGCTTACATATCTTGAATATGAAACTATTATTGATAAACTTGAGAATGCAAGTACGCGAACACGTGTCTCGTTGGATGAAGCACGAGCATTGTTTGCATCTTCAACACCATCAATAATCAATGATTTACATATAAATACTGTTTATGATTTTTGGTATAAACGACGAACAACACGGGTACATGTTTTTTAAGTAAAAATCTTTATTTGAAAAGAAAGAAAAGGATATCTAATCTAGATTTGAACACATTGTTTTATTTAATGTGTTTTTATTATTTTATATCATATGTCAGTGTGTTTTTTTTTTGTTCTTCTTTTATTACAAATAATTAGGACAAACGATTGAAACCACGTTTACTAACAGAACGTGATATCAAAGAAGAAAAAGGAAAGCATCATCCATATGTTGCTTTTCGACGGCGTGTTGAAAAAATGACAACAAGAAAAGTAAAGAAATTTTAAATTTTCATTTTCTTATGTAATTTATTATTTGCTAATATTTTCAAATAGAATCGAAAAAATGATGAGCAAGCCTATTTATCAATGCTCAAATTACGTTCTAATTTTGAAGCCGTCGTGTAAGTTGTTGTTGTTTTGATTTTTATTGATCATTTTAATGAATATATTTGTTATTTAATAGTAAGTTAACAAATTTGATCAAACTACGTGAAACAACCAAAGTCTCATGGCTCGAATGCGCACTAGCAATTTTTCAAGCACGGTACGCTGCCTGTCCACCCGTCGTCGGTGGCAACCGGAGAGTCTCGCTTAGTGAGCTCTGTGTGTTGTCTGCCTTTTTATTCTATGCTTGTCCAGATGTGATTCGAAATTGGATGATGAAACAACATCGACGAATCAATCATCGATATCATCGTTGTCGACAAATCAAGATCAATATCATCATACTCGTTCCCATTTGAAAACATCTTTATTGATGAACAGTAATAGTAATCTAACAAATATTCAACATCAACAATTATTAACACAATTAATACGTATTGAAAATCAGAAAAAAAATTCATTAACAACATCAACATTAGCTAATCTTTTACAAACATCTATAAAATCACGATCATTATCAATGGATCCTAATGATCCATTTCAACGAAAAATTAAAAAATTAAAAACATCACATCGAAAAATGAATCATGTAGGTTTTTTTAAAATAGATTATTTTCATTTGAAAATATATTTTAATTTTTTGTGTTTTTTATTTTAGACCGATAAACTTACACAATTGTTGTCTTCACCAACAATACCATCATCACCTATTGTATATAATATGGGATTGACATCAACATCAATCTCACCACAATCCATATTTGAACGATTGTCATCATCAAATGTTGTTTCTTCACCTTCAGAACAACAAACTAATCGACGTCGTTTAAAACATTCTCCATCAGGAACAATAAAACAAGGAAAAAATCATCGAAATTTATCACCTGTGGATATATGGTCCCTTGTAGATAATACAAAAGGTGGTGCAATCTTGCTTAAAGCTCAATTTCTTGAAGCAGCAAGAAAAATGCAACAAAAAGAAGTAAAAACGAAAAAAAAATTAATGAAATCAATAAATTTCTCTATTGATAAATTATTTTAGGAGCTTGAAAATAACATAAATCGTCGTGTTATTTTGCAAGATGGTTCATCTGTATTATCAAATACAAATGAAAATATCAATAATAGACTAGATGAAGTGGGAACGAGTATTGATGATGAAGAATCAATTGATCCTTGGCAATTTCGGCCTAAAATTGGATGTAGATATCTTCGGGTAAATTTGTTTTTTTAATGAATAAACTTTACAAAATATTTTTCATTTAACAAAGAGTTGTTTTGTATTAATCAAACCATTGTTTTCTTTAAAGTAATAGAAAAATTGCCAGGTTTTTTTGATAAATAAACCTAACCTTGCAATAGAAGATCTCTCTTAGAGAAATGATGCACCGGACGTAATAGCAGCAGATCTAAACGAGTATATACTCTTACTCAAGAGAATCGACACTCGTGCCTTGAACGACCGGTACTTGTACTCGAGTACGATATTTGTAGTACTCGTGCTGGAGAAAATTCATACTTGTGTTCGAATTAAAAATATGTCTATCATTTGTTAAATCTGCAAAATCACTGCTTTTCTAAAAAAATCTTTCATAATTAGAAATTATGAAAATAGATTAGTAACAATAGAAGACTCGATATGCTTCGGCATTATAGAAAATCCAGCATTTTCTATTACAGGGAGAGGATTTGTTGGTTCTAAGACTTGAAAACTATGAAATCTGGTCTTGTAAAAATCAAATATGATTCATATTTAGAACATAGATAAGGATATGATCTATCTCGAAGTTTAAGCAACTGAAAATGTTTTTTTTTTTTGGAAAAGTATAATACTTGTAGATATATATTAGTGATTTCTTTCAAACATAGAAATAGTTAATAATAATTTCTATGTGATATTGTGTTAAAATATGATTTTTATATAATATATTAATATATATTTTATAATTTTTAGCCTATTGACCAAGATCAACAACAGCATGTTCAATCACAACGTTCAAGTTTTTCATCATTTTATTCTCTCGCTTGTTCCGAACGTGGTCATCTCGGCAAGCGACGAGTACGAATAGGTCGTGGTGGAAGGTATATTTATTAATTATTTCTATCAGATTGAATGTGTATTGTATTCAAAAACCTTAATTTAGATTACTCTATGATCGTCATATTGAACAGGAGAATAATAATTCTATGAATGAAATTCATAATTTTTCATTAACAAGTAAATCATATTTTACGGATAAGTATGTATTATTATAATTACGGTAAGTATATTATTTAAATTAAATTTTTTCGGTTTGTTTTGTTCTTTAGACCCATATTATGGTATGTCTCGTCTCAACCATCACTTACTGACTCATATCATTTACATTCACATTTAACAGTTCATGATCATACAACATCACTAGCTCATCATTATCAATCAAAATCATCAACATCATCGAGTTCAATCCATTTAAACGATTCATTCTATCATGTAAATAATTCAAATCCATCTTTATCATTAAATATAAATGGTAAGCATAGACCATCGATATCAATTGAACTCGATCATCCATATTCATGTTCATCACGTTATGTTAATCAAGCGTTACGTACATTAGTTGAACCACAATTACCATCACCATCCCCATCACCACCTCCAATAACCTCTATATCTACATCACAACAGATGATGGTGATATCGACACCACCTACTCCACCACCACTACCACCATTATCATCATCATCATCGATGATAAATAATCATAAAATAGATAGTTCTCAACAACAACAACAACCATTCTATACAAAATCATCATCAACATATGTTCTTTCTCCATCAACACCTTTTTTTCCATCACATCATCACTCACATGTTATTCCATCAACGTCTCCACCTTCAACACCATCATCATGTGGTCTTGTACAATTTGTTCAACTTCATCGTATACTTCCACCAACAAAACCCCATAATTTTGCATCATCAACACCGGTGACTACATCCGATTCATGATAGATATGTGTCTGTCTCATTTTCATCATAATTATGGGTTCATAGTTCTTTAATGTGTACGCGCATATGCGCGTGTGTATGTATATTTGTTCTTGGTGTTTTCCTGCCCGCTATTTTGGTTCGTTTGTTTGTTTGTTTGTTGTTTCATTTATTTCTTCTCGTCATTTTTTTTATATGTTTATTGGTGTGTATGTGTGATGATTTTTTTTCTTCTTGTTGCTCGTTTGATATCGAGAAAAAAAAAGCATACTCGATGTTATTTCGATTAGCAAAATAGATGAATCATACACAAAAAAAAAGTACCTATTAGCAAAATTGAATTCATTCAAGGAAGTATTTTTTTTTCAGACAATGTTCAATATGTAACCAAAAAAAATTTCATTCTTTTTCTTTTCTCATTTCAAATCTAATCAGTAGTTAAAGATCATAACCTTGGTTCAAAAAATTTATTTTTCACAAGTACGTGCATGTTGGACAAGTCATTAGTAATACTTGTTATCATCTTGTCATTCGACTCGTTATATGATGAAATGACATGATTAATGCGTTGGTATTTATAATGAAGAGATCGTTAGAATATTAACTATAGTTCGATGTTTTAGGAATATTTAAATTATAATTTATCTATTAAGTATTCTAATTCATCTAGATTTTCTTGGTTATATATTTAATATAAATATCAGACAAATAAGAAATTCAAAGATGGATTAGGAAATGTTCTTAATATTCTAATTAAAAATTTGATTAATGATATTGTCATATGTATTCATTTTATAATCAAATAAATCACACAATATATATATGAACATGTTACGATTAAGTTGGTTTCAATCGTATATGGAGAAGTTTAATTATATATATATATATGCATAGAAATGAAGAGATATCTTATAAATGAGTTGAAATAATATTTATATATAGAAATAGAATTGCATGTTAATTCATCAGATATAGAACTGTTCATTTATTTCGCAGTAATCAAAATAAACAAACTGATTATGAGTACAATATGATTTATTCATACAGATTTGAGATAGTTTATTGTAGGAAAACACATTCTGAAAAAACTTTCTATATTTCGGTTTTGTATTCATTAAATAATATATCAGACAAAAAAAAAAAATTTTTCTACGAGATATCTGATAAAGTCTAAAATCAAAAATTGAATTACATAACAATTAGTTAAAATAATATGAAGCATACCGAGTGATATATAAACAAAAATTCATTACAAAAATGCAAGTTAGTCATCAATGGGAAAAATAAGACTTCCTATGTCTATATCATTGTCTTTGATAAAAGCATATTTATATAGTGTAAAACAAGGATATGCATTTTCACACGTACGCTATTCAACAAGGTCAAATAGTAATAACGTATGCTTGATCACATGAAAACTGGTACAAATAAAAAATTGAATTAATACAGAAGGACTAAAGAATTGTTAAAGAAAATAATTTAGTTTCTTTAAAAAGATGTTTGATATTCTTATTTCTCAAGGTGAAAAGTTTTCACGTGCAATACTTAGTATCTGTTTCAAGGACTAACTCACTCCATATAAAATAAGCAACGCTCGAAATTAGTGTCTATTTATATTCTTTGTTTTTTGTCTTCAGAATATTTTAATTCGATACTTTCGTGATTTTTTTTTAATAACTATAATATATGGCAAAACATTTAAATTAGAGATGTAATATCGTATGTATAATATGTACGCGAGAAAAAGAAAAGAACAAAAAGAAATTTTTATGAAACATATGAAAAAGCAGTCATTGACATATTCTCTGTTTCTTGCTGTTGATCAAAATGAAAAAGTTGTTGTTTTGATGAATTTTTATAGACACTATCATGTGAATATCTTACAAATTGTTCATATTGTTCATTAAGTTTTGTTTTTAATAATTGTTCATACTGTTCACGTATTAATTTATCTTGTTCACGTAAAAGACGAGCACACATTTGAGTAGTTTGTGTATATGTAAACATAGGAGTATCATCAGTTGACGATGATGTTAAAGCAGTAAGTGAACATGATTTTAATGATGAATTTTTATTTGTTGATGATTTAGTAAAAATAGATTGTTGTTTTGTAGGAGATGATGATGAAGTATTATTTATTGTAAATGTTGTTGGTGATAATTTTATTTCTGCTCGTTTACGTTTTACACCTTGTTCAACTGGATCAAATTCAAGTGAACGTTTAAGTGATGCAACTGCTAACATATTGAATAGTTCTATTGAAAATTAAAAAACAAAAAAAAAAAAAAAATCAAACACCAATATGAAAAATAATAATTATGTGTCCGATTATTTCTTGTTTCAAAAAAGAAAAGAGGAGGGTTTATATATACAGAAGACACAGTCATGTCTTTATCTCATAGTTATACACCAATCAAAATTGAAATTTTATTCAAGAACGATCCTATGAATACAATATTGATTTAATGAAATTTCTATTGAAAAAAAAATAATGAATTAAAGATTTTAATATATTTATTTTATAATTCTAGATAAGAAGATGACGCTTTTGATCTAAAGATTTTGATTGGTTGAAACATATGAAAAATCTGATTGGAAGAAAGACTTTTCAGAACGATAGTTCGTTGTGAAATAAAACTAAGCAAAAGACAAGTAGATTTAGTTTTTCTGATTGAATTTTTCAAATATATATATATATTTCATTATGTTCACAAATAGAATCGCTATGTTCTTAAATAATAGTTATATCTAGATTAATATCTCTTCGTCTTTCGTATTATAATTGTCCTAGATCTAGAAAAACCTATCTTTTCTTACAATTATAGTTGCTATCAAATAAATTGATCAAAACACAAACAGAGGAGGTTTTTCCAAATTTTTGATAGCTTAAATTCATAAATTTCAAAATCTAACTATTATTTAGGGTAACGGATTCAGAGAGGGAGAGACACTGGGAGCGATCTTTCCTTTCTTACGAAATTTTTTTTTACTTAGCAGGTAATGTCCAAAAATGAGTCGATATGACCCTCTAATAGACTTCAAAACACATCTTGCAACCGGGATTTCTAATCTTACATTACTTTCTATTTTAGTATTATACTTGATGTATTTGATTCAATCTTGAATTCTTAAAATTGCACAATTAATTTTATATATTTTGCTTTTTTTCCCTATTGCCGATCGTTATTACATGTCAATGCAATAATGTCAATTAATAATTATAGAAGAAATCGTTTTATTTTTAAATCTCTTTCAAGTAAAAACATAAATGTAGAAGAAATTAGGATTTTCATTTTAAGAATTGTACTAAATACTTAAACAATATTTTTATCGAATACACCATATCGCTCTATTTTCTAGGCATTGCTTTCATTCAATGTTTTATTCAGCTTATTTCTTTCGAAAAGGCGATTTAAAATTCCGATAGGACAAATATCTGTTTTTATAAGCACAAACACATGGTACATGGTATAATAACTATAAACTTCTGAAAGATCAAACTGATGTTCGGAGGAGCACCTTCACGCTAGATAAAATATTATTTTCATTGTTTTGTTTGAAAATTTTATTAGTTTTAAATTTAGATTATCATATTCTTTGAAAGCTTTTCTATTTGTATATATTTTTTTCGAATTAATAAAATCTCATGTATACTAGATCGATGTATATGAAATCAACTTTTACAAGTCTATTTTGTTTTAGATTTCTATTTAATGGAAAATATAACTAAACATGATCCATTTCTTTCACATTTTGAAACATTAATAGATGAAAAACAAATCAATAATAAATCATCGAAAAATAAAATAGATCTATTTTCATCATCACTTGGTTCTTGTCAATTCTCATCAACTTCATCAGATAAACCACCTATATTACCATGTCCAACATCTACAATTGATTCATTTTCAATAAAAAAATCACTTCTATCAAATATTGAAACATCAGGTAGTCAATTAACACCATTACAATTTGATTTTTTTTCATTAATTCATAATTATTATGATGTTTATTATCCAAATCGAACTAATATAAATGATGTTGGTGAACAATTACGATTTGTTATTTGTTTACATTTAATAAATCATGTATTAAAAACACGTTCACGTATATTATCACATAATGCAAAATTAAAAGAAAATCCTGATCTTGATTATCATGATCAAGGTTTTACAAGACCTAAAGTTCTTATTATTGTACCATTTCGTGAGAGTGTTCGACGTATTATAAATTGTTTTGAAAATCTTTTATTAACTATGGATGATAGTGAAAAAAATGATCAAATACAAATGAGTCATCGAAAAAGATTCAAAGAAGAATATGGTGGTGAAGAAATTGATAATGAAAATAATGATAGTAAATTTCAACGTACATCTAATGAATATAATGAAATATTTGCTGGAAATATTGATGATCATTTTCGATTAGGTAATTATTACATCTTGTTTTATTTGTTTAATAAATTGAGATATGTGTGAGAGATATATCTAACAGATAGAGATTTGCATCGCAGTAATAGTTATAACTAAAATAAAAATGTTGGGTATTTTTGCTTTGAGCTTCATAACTCTGGAAGAGAAGGAGGCATTTTGAATTGACTTATCTATCATTATGCATCTCTATATCTCAGCTATCTTTTATACAGATTTGATGGAGATTCTTCAAGAATTGTAGTCATTTTATTCTAATTGGTCGGTGTACAAAAACCTATCTATTGTCCTTTCAAAACCCATAACTTAGTGATAGTTCAATAAATTGATTCGAAAATTTTAGAAAAACTTTCTTCATTGTTTTCTGCAAGTTTCAAAATAAAATGTTACACTCGAAGGACATGACATACGGATGATCATCTGATTAGTGTCGAGAATCTATAGACATCAACATCCCAACAAATGAACTTATCTTTTGGACGAAGGAAAAACTATATATTAAGCTCAAGTTTCTTGTAAAAATATTGAAAATTAATCATGTATTTGAAAAGAAACAAGATAAATATTAGTAGGCAATCTTTTAAATTTATC